ATCCGCCACTCCCTCGTCTCCCCCACACCCTCCCCCCCCACAGCGGCATGTGCGGCAGTGGGAGAGAGAGGAGGAGAGGCGGCAGCTGATTACTCACACCCGCCACCCCCATACCCTCCCCCCCACTGCTGCACGCGCAGCAAGGAGATGGAGGAGAAGGGGGGGCGGGGGGGCGGGGCAGGAGCTGCGCGGGAGACAGCAGGGCGCGCGGGCGAGCAGCAACCGTCGCGCGTCCAAGGCGCGCGACGGGCAGAAACCGTCGCGCGCACGGGGCATGCGACGGGCACGAAATCGACGCACGCCCGGGGCGTGCGACGGGCAGAAAATCGACGCGCGCCCGCGGCGCGCGACGGGCAGAAAACCGACGCGCGCCCGGGGCGCGCGACGGGCAGCAGAGTGGCGCATTTAGCGGAAGCTAACGGTGGGCCCAAAGGGGAGGAGGCTCTAGGAACGAGCCTGCTCTGATACCATGTCAGAATGAGGAAACAGTAATGATGATAGCAAAAGGAAGTGGTTGCACTAGCAGGTGTTGGAATAACCGAAAGGTTATCACAAGCATTCCCGAAGGCTCTCCACTATCGCGTCTCCTCATAGCGAAGCAGACGCCTGTACCAGTACCGCATGAGCTCATATAGAGCACGCGGAAGATCGAGGGTCACCCTAAGGTCAACAGTCGAAGACAGTCAACGGCCGTGACCCTTGACTGCCCAGTAACCGCACAAGGCAGTTGCGAAATGGAACATGGTAACTGTCTAGAATGGCAATAGTCGCAATGCAATTCAGTTAATAAGGGAATGTACCCCTCAGAGTACATGGCTAGCTAGGCTTGCTATTTATACTCTTGTACTTCTATCTTATAATCATCTTGTTCTCTTTCAATTTATTGACAAGGTCCTTACAGAGACTTCACAGTTCTCTCCCTTATACTTGGCAACCTTATTCTATCCACTACGATTCTTAGTTATAACATCATGGTATGAGAGCTAGATGTCAAACATTATATGTTTAAATTGTGTAGGCTATAGTGGGTTTAGCCTTAGGGGGTACAACTTTGTTAGGGTTTCCTACTTGTATCCCCCTCCTACCTAGTTTCATCCATTCTCGTTCACCTCTACTTTACAACATGGTATCCGACGCCTAGGTCAGGACCTAGGACCGAAGTTGGTTTGGGCCCACCGTTCCACCGCGCCGTCGAGCGCCCCTTCTCGCGCCGTCGAGCGCCCCTTCTTGCGCCGTCGAGCGCCCCTCCTAGCGCCGTCGAGCGCCCCTTCTAGCGCCGTCGAGCGCCCCTACTAGCGCCGTCGTGCGCCCTAGTGGCCGCCGCCCGTAGGCTGCCCATCGCCCGTAGGCTGCCCGTCGCCTGCCGTCGCCTGTAGGCCGCCCTTACGCTGCCCGTACGCAGCCCGTAGGCCGCGGCCGCCCGTAGGCCGCCAGTACGACGCCCGTAGGACGCTGCCGTCCGTAGGCAGCCCGTAGGCAGCCCGTAGGCAGCCCGTAGGCTGCCCGTAGGCCGCTCACGCGCAGGCCGTGACCCGCGCGCCACGGCTACTTCACGCCGACGCCTGCAGCCCGCCGGAACCCGTGCGCGTCGCCCCCCCTGCCCCTTCGCGACGCCCTTACGGGACCCGCGAGTCGCCCCCGCCTCGTCGCGACGCAGCTGCGGGACCCACGCGTCGCCCCCGCCTCGTCGCGACGCAGCTGCGAGACCCGCGCGTCGCCCCCGCCTCGTCGCGACGCAGCTGCGGGACCCGCGCGTCGCCCCTGCCCCGTCGCGACGCAGCTGCGGGACCCGCGCGTCGCCCCCGCCTCGTCGCGACGCAGCTGCGGGACCCGCACGCGTCGCCCCTGCCTCGTCGCGTCGCCCCCGCGCGCGACCCGCGCGTCGCCCCTGCTCACCGTGGCGCCCTGCTCTACCCCGCGCCCGCCCTTGGGACGGCCGCCCCTGGCCTCTGGAGCAGCTGCACCTACAGCCGCCCCTGGACCCTGGAGCAGCCGCCCCTGCAGCAGCCGCCCCTGGCCACCTGGAGCAGCCACCACAGCAGGAGCCGCCCCTGGACCCTGGAGCAGCCGCCCCTGCAGCAGCCGCCCCTGGCCCCTGGAGCAGCCGCCACTGCAAGAGCCGCCCCTGGCCCCTGGAGCAGCCGCCCCTGCAGCAGCCGTCCCTGGCCCTTGGACCAGCCGCCACTGCAAGAGCCGCCCCTGGCCACTGGAGCAGCCGTCCCTGCAGCAGCCGCCCCTGACCCTTGGAGCAGCTGCCGTCGCGGCCCGGCCCCGCCCTGCAGCAGCTGCCGCGGAGCTCCCTGCCGCGGCCCAGCCCCGCCCTGCAGTTGTAGCGGCCCCGCTGTCGCCACCGTCTTGCGCCTACCGCGCCGACCACTGGTGAGCATTACCCTGCCCGCACTGCTACCACTACTACTGCTGCTACTGCCTCTACTGCTCCTACTGTTACTGCTGTTACTGCCGCTACTGCTGCTACTGCTGCTCCTGGCGTGGCCAGATGCAGCTCCAGGGCCGTGCGCGTGAGTCCCTCATGCCCCAGCAGCTTCGTGAGTGGTACGCTAGTTGGGGCTGTCGGGGTGGCCGTAGTGGTAGTCGCTCTCGAGTGGGTCGTTCGGGAGCTCCTGGTAGTGGACAGGTGCAGCTGTCGTGTCCTCTTTCGCCCCAGCAGCTTCGTGAGTGGTACGCTAGTTGGGGCTGTCGGGGTGGCCGTAGTGGTAGTCGCTCTGGAGTGGGTCGGTCGGGAGCTTCTGGTAGTGGACAGGTGCAGCTACCGTGTCCTCTTTCGCCCCAGCAGCTTCGTGAGTGGTACGCCAGCTGGGGCTGTCGGGGTGGCCGTAGTGGTAGTCGCTCTGGAGTGCGTCGTTCGGGAGCTTCTGGTAGTGGACAGGTGTAGCTGCCGTGTCCTGTGAGTGAGGCTGCCGCTCTAGGTGCTCGTGCGTCTGTTGCCCTAGGTGCTGGTGAGGCTACCACTCCCGGTACTCGCGTGTCTGCTACCCCAGGTGCTGGTGAGGCTGCTGCTCTAGGTGCTAGTGAGTCTGCCCCCCCTGGTACTGAGTCGACTGAGGCACTTCACACCTTCACACTGGACTCAGGTGCTTCTCGCTGTTTCTTTCGTGACCGCACTACCCTTGAGCCGCTTGCTCGGCCAGTTGCTGTCTCTCTCGCTGACCCCTCTGGGGGTCCGGTCATTGCGACCTCCTCCACTGTCCTTCCTTGTCCTGCGGTCCCGTCGGGCACACTGTCAGGTCTCCACCTCCCCTCGTTCTCTACGAACTTGGTGGCAGGTTGTGCGCTCCAGGACGGGGGTGTCCACCAGTTCACCCCTGCCTACGAGCGCGTGACACACTGCACGTGTGCTCGGACGGGCCGTCACCTGGCTACCTTCACTCGGCAGCCGGGGTCGGACCTGTACACACTGACCACTGAGTCCCCTCAGGTAGCTGCGTCTGCGTCTGCGTCAGGTCAGCTGTCGGCCCCCTGCTCGTGTCACTCTCTGGCGCACGAGACCGTCCTCTGGCACCACCGACTTGGTCACCCGTCCATGCAGCGCCTTCGTGCCATGCACAAACGGTACCTTGTCTCTGGTCTTCCCAGGGTTCTCCCTCCCCTCCCACCCTCGCCTGCTCCTCCCTGTCTTCCCTGTGTCGAGGGGCGGCAGCGCGCCGCTCCTCACTCCTCCTCGTTTCCTCCGACGACTGCTCCCTTGCAGACGCTCCACATGGACGTGTGGGGCCCAGCCCGCGTCCATGGTCAGGGTCAGGAGAGGTACTTCCTGATAGTTGTTGACGACTACTCGCGCTACACCACGGTCTTCCCCTTGCGCACCAAGGGTGAGGTCCCTGATGTTTTGATCCCTTGGATCCGCGCTTCTCGTCTCCAGCTCAGCGAGCGTTTCCACTCGGACTTTCCTGTCCTGCGCTTGCACTCTGACAGAGGTGGTGAGTTCTCCTCCGACCTCTTGGCAGCCTACTGTGCGGAGCACGGCATTCGCCAGTCGTTCACGCTTCCGGCCTCTCCACAGCAGAATGGGGTTGCTGAGCGCCGCATTGGCTTGGTCATGGAGGTCGCTCGTACCTCCTTGATCCATGCGGCTGCCCCCCACTTTCTGTGGTCGTTTGCGGTCCGCTACGCTGCGCATCAGCTCAACCTCTGGCCCCGTGTCTCCGTTCCGGAGACTTCGCCGACACTGCGTTGGACGGGAGAGGTTGGCGATGCGTCACGCTTTCGGGTCTGGGGATCTCGAGCTTTTGTCCGCGATACGTCTGCGGACAAGCTCTCCTCCCGCGCTGTTCCTTGTGTCTTCCTTGGCTTTGTCCCGGACGCGTCTGGTTGGCAGTTTTACCACCCCACCTCGCGCAGTGTCCTGCCTTCTCAGGACGTCACGTTCGACGAGTCCGTCCCCTACTACCGCCTCTTCCCCTACCGCACTGCCCCGCTTCCCCCCCCGCCTCTCTTCCTCGCGCCAGGTGCTGCTGTGGTAGACCCCCTACCCCTCAGGGTGCCGCTCCCTCAGGTGTGTCCCAGGTAGACCCGGTTGAGCCTGTCGAGGTAGCTGTCGACTCTCGCACCGCACACATTTTCTGGTTTCCCGTCGCTGCATCCCTCCCTTGCACCGCACACATTTTCTGGTTTCCCGTCACTGCATCCCTCCCTTGCACCGCACACATTTTCTGGTTTCCCGTCACTGCATCCCTCCCTTGCACCGCACACATTTTCTGGTTTCCCGTCACTGCATCCCTCCCTTGCACCGCACACATTTTCTGGTTTCCCGTCACTGCATCCCTCCCTTGCACCGCACACATTTTCTGGTTTCCCGTCACTGCATCCCTCCTTTGCACCGCACACAGTTTCTGGTTTCCCGTCACTGCATCCTTGCACCACATACATTCTCTGGTTTCCCATCACTGCAATGCTTTTCACCCCTCACATTCTCTGTTTTCCCTTGACTGCATGCCTTGCACTCAATTCTCTGGTTTCCCATCACTCTTGACCAGTTCTACATGGAAGATTCCCGGAACCGGATGTGCATGGAAGCTGAAGATCGTGTCATTACATTCTACCCATCCTTTGAGAAGCGTATGCGGGTTCTGCACGAGGTCATCTCCGAAAATTACATCGTGTCCTTCATTTTGCTGAAAGAGGCCATGGGGGATAAAACACGGCGTGATTCGTTCAAGCGCGTATGGACTCAATGGAAGAATGAGCGCGGTTTTTACATAAAAAGAACCGTACTTGAGGGCTTAGGGGTTGCTATGTGCGGGCTGCGCGCGGCGGAAATTCACGTCGATGTGAAAGTGAAGGAGGATCTCTGGAAAACTCATTGCCCGAGTGAGTGAACCGCAACTCTTCCCCCCCCTCCCCCCCTCTCCTCCACAATCACCCCATCCAATCTTTCACCACCCCATCTCACTCTCTTCTCAACTTGGCGTTGGCTCACATAGTCCATCTTAATACTCGAGTTCCACCCGTCCAACCACTCTCTTTACCATCCTTGTTCGAGCGTGTCGCAGGCGTGGACGACCCCCTGAGCACATGGGGGAATGCTGAGGATGGTGGCCTCCCGTTTGGCAATGACATCTTCTTCAACGCAGCTATGGATGCTTTCGGAGAATTCAGCGTGGGAGACGACTTGTGCTTGAAGGCGTGTCACATCGCCTGGACTATCATGGTGGTGAGTGGTTTGTTATTGTGACCCCCTGTTTTCCCCTCCCCTCAATGAGCTGCGCCCACTCCCCTGTTTTCCCCTTCCCTCAATGAGCTGCGCCCACTCCCTTGTTTTCCCCTTCCCTCAATGAGCTGCGCCCACTCCCCTGTTTTCCCCTTCCCTCAATGAGCTACGCCCACTCCCCTGTTTTCCCCTCCCCTCAATGAGCTGCGCCCACTCCCCTGTGATTTACTGTTAATTCTCTGCGCCCATGGTTCCTAATCCCAACAATGCAGATTGACTACGGTCTGTCGAAGATTAAGAAGTCAACGATGAACCTCACCAACTCCCACCGAAAGAACACGAAGTGGGTGACAAGCATCCGCGACGTGGTTCGACGGGTGGTGAGGGATCATTTTAGCCAGGTCAATCCTGTCTACAACGCACGGATGAAGGGGTTCAGGTGGGGAACTTTCGGCTTGTTCGTCCATGAGTCAGGGTTAGAGGAGTATAGGCCCAGACCACAGCCCCGCAATCCGGCAGGGAGGGTGGCGGCAGGACCGATCTAGAGAGAAAAGGGGGAGGAGCAGCAGGGAGGAAGCAGCAGGGAGCGAGCAGCAGGGAGGGAGCAGCAGGGAGGAAGCAGAAGGGAGGTTGCAGCAGGGAGGGAGCAGCAGGGAGGAGGCAGCAGGGAGGAAGCAACAGGGAGGGAGCAGCATGGAGGAAGCAGCAGGGAGGAAGCAGCAGGGAGGAAGCAGCAGGGAGGAAGCAGCAAGGAGGGAGCAGCAGGGAGGAAGCAGCAGGGAGGTTGCATCAGGGAGGGAGCAGCAGGGAGGAAGCAGCAGGGAGGAAGCAACAGGGAGGGAGCAGCATGGAGGAAGCAGCAGGGAGGAAGCAGCAGGGAGGAAGCAGCAGGGAGGGAGCAGCAAGGAGGGAGCAGCAGGGAGGAAGCAGCAGGGAGGGAGCAGCAGGGAGGAAGAAGCAGGGAGGGAGCAGCATGGAGGGAGCAGCAGGGAGGAAGAAGCAGGGAGGGAGCAGCATGGAGGGAGCAGAAGGGAGGTTGCATCAGGGAGGGAGCAGAAGGGAGGTTGCATCAGGGAGGGAGCAGCAGGGAGGAAGCAGCAGGGAGGGAGCAGCAGGGAGGGAGCAGAAGGGAGGTTGCATCAGGGAGGGAGCAGCAGGGAGGAAGCAGCAGGGAGGGAGCAGCAGGGAGGAAGCATCAGGGAGGGAGCAGCAGGGAGGGAGCAGAAGGGAGGTTGCATCAGGGAGGGAGCAGCAGGGAGGAAGCAGCAGGGCGGATGCAACAGGGAGGGAGCAGCAGGGAGGAAGCAGAAGGGAGGAAGCAACAGGGAGGGAGCAGCAGGGAGGGAGCAGCAGGGAGGAAGCAGCAGGGAGGAAGCAGCAGGGAGGGAGCAGCAGGGAGGGAGCAACAGGGAGGGAGCAGCAGGGAGGAAGCAGCAGGGAGGGAGCAGCAGGGAGGAAGCAGCAGGGAGGGAGCAGCAGGGAGGGAGCAGAAGGGAGGAAGCAGCAGGGAGGGAGCAGCAGGGAGGAAGCATCAGGGAGGGAGCAGCAGGGAGGGAGCAGAAGGGAGGTTGCATCAGGGAGGGAGCAGCAGGGAGGAAGCAGCAGGGAGGAAGCAGCAGGGAGGGAGCAGAAGGGAGGGAGCAGAAGAGAGGAAGCAACAGGGAGGGAGCAGCAGGGAGGGAGCAGCAGGGAGGAAGCAGCAGGGAGGGAGCAGAAGGGAGGGAGCAGAAGGGAGGAAGCAACAGGGAGGGAGCAGCAGGGAGGAAGCATCAGGGAGGGAGCAGCAGGGAGGGAGCAGAAGGGAGGTTGCATCAGGGAGGGAGCAGCAGGGAGGGAGCAACAGGGAGGGAGCAGCAGGGAGGAAGCAACAGGGAGGGAGCAGCAGGGAGGAAGCAGCAGGGAGGGAGCAGCAGGGAGGGAGCAGAAGGGAGGTTGCATCAGGGAGGGAGCAGCAGGGAGGAAGCAGCAGGGAGGGAGCAGCAGGGAGGGAGCAGAAGGGAGGAAGCAGCAGGGAGGGAGCAGAAGGGAGGTTGCATCAGGGAGGGAGCAGCAGGGAGGAAGCAGCAGGGAGGGAGCAGCAGGGAGGAAGCATCAGGGAGGGAGCAGCAGGGAGGGAGCAGAAGGGAGGTTGCATCAGGGAGGGAGCAGCAGGGAGGAAGCAGCAGGGAGGAAGCAACAGGGAGGGAGCAGCATGGAGGAAGCAGCAGGGAGGAAGCAACAGGGAGGGAGCAGCAGGGAGGGAGCAGAAGGGAGGTTGCATCAGGGAGGGAGCAGCAGGGAGGAAGCAGCAGGGAGGAAGCAACAGGGAGGGAGCAGCATGGAGGAAGCAGCAGGGAGGAAGCAACAGGGAGGGAGCAGCAGGGAGGGAGCAGCAGGGAGGATGCAGAAGGGAGGAAGCAGCAGGGAGGAAGCAGCAGGGAGGAATCAGCAGGGAGGCAGAGGATTAACAGCAAATGAGAGAGCAGGTGAGGAGCTGCAAATGCATGGAGGACCATTGGAGTAACAGCCGTTCAAGGGCGGAAAGCAGTAACAACATGGGGGAGTAGCAGAGGAGTGACACCAAGGGGGCGGGGCACAAGAGTAATAGCACAGCAGGGAGGGAGCAGAGAAGTAACAGCAAGGGAGGTGGGGGTCCTGAGGAGTAACAACAAGGAACAGGGAGTAGAACAGCTGGGAGGGAGCAGCAGGGAGTAGCACAGCAGGGAGGAAACAAAGAAACACGGAGCAACATTGGGGGGAGCAGTGTGAGAGCAGCATTAGAGGGAGCAATGGCGGTGGGGGGAGCAGTAGATGAGCAGAAAGGGGTTGCCATTTTAGTAGCAGCAGGGGGGTTGAGTCATTAAGGAGTGGCTGGGTGGGAAGGAGCAGAGGAGAAGCCGTATGGGGCCGAGCGGTGCGGATATGCTGGGTGGAGTTGGGACCTAGGGTTGATAGCGGGTAGTAGTAGCGCAGGTGTCATTAACCAGGGAAGGACTACTAGTAGAGTAGGTAGGAACCAGAAAAATTAGTAGGCTACAAATGTCTTAGTACCCTTTTTGAAGTAATGTTATGATTTGCACGTACGCGCCTGCCATCTAAGGGGGAATTTATGGAAAGTGCTGTGCAGCCTGCAATGAACTACTATGAAATGTTATCCAAACCCCAAGTGTGTTTTCTGAAATCATGCATAACCATTTTCCGAATTTATGCTTGACACATAAAAGTGTTTCAAAAAACCTTAATCCTTGTCCACAAAAGAATCACATAAAGCTGCAGAATGTGCTCTAAACGAGTTTTCCAAAACTCCAGGAGAACTTCCGCCGAAGCATTTCAAAACTGATATAAAACATTGCTACCATCTACAAAGCATCTGACACAACATCTGGAAAAAGTTCGATACTTTCTTCGAAAAAAGTACCGACCCCTACATCTTCAAAGCACCTGCAAAAACACATCAAATACACATCATGAGAGGTTTCCAGCTACTTGATTTTTGTGATGATTACATCGCTGAAGGCAGCAGTACTTACGTGTTGTACTACCATCGTCCAACGCAAACAGCAGCCGAACTGCATCAAAAGCGCTGGTAAGAAAGGCCAAGGACAAACCCTAAGCGGGGAAGGAACCATGTGGGAGATGTCACGCATGCCATCCTACCATGTCTGTCAACAGCAGCCATGGCACCATGCCGACATGCCATACCATCATGCCACCGCAAGCATGCATGTAATCACCTACCAACGTTAGAAGACACGTATCCCTTACAACAATTTGCAGTATAGACAGTAATGCATCCAACTGTTGGAGGTGCACCACCACAGTTTGCTAACCCTCCCTAGAAATGACCTTTCTGTTCTGACATGCCAACTACATGGCCTCCCTCTCCGTTCTCAACAAATACATCTGTCCTCCCTCCGTCCGTAGCCTTATCGGTGCGACGGTATCCGTAAGCATGGGAGGACGCAAGGGAGAGATTGCAGTGGTAGAGAGAGGCAGGCATTGGTAGCACTCACAGCACGCGCAGGGAGGGTGGCAGAGGGAGATCAGTAATAGACCCTTGGATTCTGTAGGCCTCTGATAGCACACTGAAGTGCAGGAGAGAAAGGGCAGCACAGGCGGAGAAGGGGGAGGGGAGGTGGGGATGGGGGTTGGGAGGGAGGGGGGTGAGGGAGTGGTGAGCGAGGTGAGGGCCCGGGGGGTGGGGGGTTGGGGAGGGGAGCGGAGGAGGGAAGAAGATTGAGGGTGTAAGAGGGGAGGGGTATACTACGGTTGGGTTGGGGCTTAGGAAGCATGATGAAGGATCATCGTCATGCAGAGAAAAAAAAAGGGCTGGGAGCGGGAAGGAACAACTAACACGGATAGATGGGGGATGGTAAGCGAACAGCCGAAGATGGGTAGTAACGGAAAAGCATTCCAACTTATAGAATGAATCCGAAATAACGCCAACTAGCGTGTAGCTTGGGAGATACAGAGCAAAACTGAAGGAGCGTTGGAGGATGGATGAGACACATAACGCCAAGGTGTGTGGATGGTGGGGGAAGGGGCGCGGGGAAGAAGGGGGGGCGGAGGTATGGAGGCGACAGACTCACAGGCGTCTGAGGTAAGGCATGGCGGAGAAGACGTTTAGAGGCATTGTCACATTGATCTCGATGAAAGGAGGAACGCTGCACAGAACAGAACAAGGTGTCGCATTCAACAAACTCAAACATGCACGCATGCATGCGCAGGCTCACACACACGCGAACGCACATGCACGGGGCAATAGGAAGAATGCACATATGCATGTGCAAGGGTTCACATACACACACAGACACACACACACACGCACACACACGCACGCACACACACACACACACACACACACACACACACACACGCACACACACACACACACAAACACACAGCTATAGAAACATTACACGCATGCATGTGCAAGGGTTCGCACGCAGAAGCTACACTTATCTAGTGAATTTCCCCTTTCTTTTTTGGAGCAACGACCCACAATGCTACAAGCAGCGTTAACACTGCCACAAGTGCTTGCATCAACTAACACACAATGTCTTTCCCCCGCAGTGCTCGCTTGCTGTCCCCACCAGAGCGCACCACACCACACCACACGACACCAGAGCAGAGAAGAACAGAGCAGAGCTTTGTACAAGGCGGTGAAGAAGCCATCTTTTGCTGCTTCGCACTGGACGTACTCCCACTGGTCGCAGAGCAGAGAGACGTACACGGCAGAGAGACGTACACGGCAGAGCAGAGCACACCAGAGCAGAGCAGAGAGCAACATACATGGCAGTGATGAAGCCCTGCGCGTTGCACTGGATGTACTGCCACTTGCACAGCATCTAAGAGCAGACCAGAGAATGACGCACACTGAAACGATGAAGCCCTGCGCGTTGCACTGGATGCACTCCCACTGGTTGCAGTGGAGCACAGAGCAGGGAAGAGAGCGACGTACACTGCAACTATAAAGCCTTGCTGGTTGCACTGGATGTACTCCCACTGGTCGCAGCGCCGTGAGCGGTTGGAGTTGGACGGCCACAGCTGCCACGCGGCGTTCAGCGCCTCCAGCGCACCCACTGCGCCCCTCCCCCCCCCCCCCCTCCCCCCTCTCCGCTCCCCCCGTGCGCGGCGCAACCAGCACACATGCCCGAACGACGTGTGGCGAGGCGAGGCGAGGCGAGGCGAGGCGAGGCGAGGCGAGGCGAGGCGAGGCGAGGGGAGGGGAGGCGAGGGGAGGGGAGGGGCACAGAGAGTGATGCAAGCAGGGTGAGCCCAAGGAACCAACGCGGGTGAGCAGCCAGCTATGGATAAGGCGATAGAAGGATTCACGGGCAGCGTGTGAGACGGCGAAGGCACGGACAATGGGTGTGGGATGAGGCAAAAACGTAGGACGGCGGAGGTGGAGGAGCAGCGGAACAAGGAAACGAGCATCAGCGCGCTGTGACAGGGGGAAACGCGTGTGGCTAGGGCTTACGCTGACTGTCAGAGAGTAATGTTGGAGTCGCCGCTGACGACACCCTCTCTATAAGGCTCGTGCGACGCTCATTATGCGACTCCTGCGACGGGACAAGCGACGATTCGCGCGAGTCCCCATACTGAGGATAATTCGTCAGCCAGTTCACCGCGGTAATTCCCGAAGCGGAGTGGTTGTGCGGGAAGGCGGCGGAGATTGAATGCGGTGTTGATAATACGAGGACAAACAGGAGCAAGACGGCACGGAATGTTAACGCTGTCGGTAGATAGCTGTCGGAAGGTGAGCGCAAGTGGAAACTATGAGACGATGGTCGCGCCATGGCTTGTCGACGTCGTTCTCCGTCAACTCTACGTTGTGAACAAAAAGAATTACCTTGTCAGGCTTTTCAAGATTCTGCTGACACAAGTGGCAAAGTTGCCTTCACCCACCGCACAGCACCGATCTGCTCATCGAATCTGTTCGCCACCATTTTGGGGAAGTCTGTTTTCCGTGCTTTCCTTCCCAGAACTCGAGGTGGTAGCAAGGGAAATTCCCATAAAGCAAGGGCGTATTCCCATAAAGGGAAATATCCATGAAGCAAGGGTGCACATTCCTGGGCTATGTTCGGAGCAGCTAGACCGTGTAAAGTGTTGATTTCGCATGGCACCCATGACTGTTAAAGCCAGGATCTCAAGTAAGAGAAATTGGCTTCAATTGCAAAACACTTGCAGCTCGAGTCACCCTGTTTGTTTAGGCGAAATCGAGTGGTTGGGTTGGAGGTTCAGTGTGCGACTGATCCCCGATTTGCCCGTGAATCTCAATTGCAAAACAAATTGCTGTGCATGAGATTTTTCGGCAAGTGAGACACATTGCTGGGAAATGAGCTTCGGAACCCAACCAGATTTCCGTGCCTAGTTGGTTCGGAAGTTCACTGCGATTTTTGTTTGCTTCGCATCCCTCGTTTCAGCTCTCGTCAACTACTCTACCTCGTCAACCAATCACAGCCTAACACAATTCACTAACTGCAAAACAGCCAAACTACTTGAGATCCTGGCTTTAAAGCCAGGATCTCAAGTAGTTCAATTGTTTTGCAGTTGGTGAGGGGTGCTTGGCTATGATTGGTTAACGAGGTGGATATTCTGACGAGGGGTGAAGCGAGGGGTGCGAACTAAAGACAAATCGCAAGTTTGAATCCGAACTAGGGAGGCACGGAATCTGGTTCGGTGACGAAGCTCCAACACCAGCAATTTCTCGTCACACCCGAACAATCTCATGTACCAGCAATCTGTTTTGCATTTGCTCCAGGGGCAAAAACGTGGGTGTGTCGCACACTCAACTTCCTAACCTACCAGTCAATTCGCCCACACAAATAGAGTAACGAGAGCTGCAAGTGTTTTGCAATTGAAGGTCAATTCTCGTACTTGAGATCCTGGCTTTAAAAGCTCGGGGCCCAAATTGCGGGCCGCGCGGGGCAGGATTACTAATCTTGCACACCTCACTTTTTTTTGTTGCATCCGGGCGAAAATCCGGTCACGGTAGATGCGATGCAATTTGATTGGTCGAAG